TTCCCCCTCCCTCATGAACCCTTGATAATTTAAAAATTATTATTATTTTGTCATATCTTATATTGTCTGATGTCTCCCTTCACCCACTTTTTTGTAGTCCATCCCCCAGGGAGTAAGTTATATGTAGATCCTTGTAATATGTTTCCCCTTTCTCCCTCACCTTCCCTCCACCCTTCTGGTATCACCACTGTGACCACTGGTCCTGAGGAGGTCATCTGTCCTGGATTCCCTATATTACTATGGCAGAATGACACAAACCAGAGGATTGGCCTTGCATTCACTGTAAAAAAAGGACATTTCAAGATCTATCTTGAAGTACAATGCTGTCCGTGATAGGATTATGTATCTACCCTCAAGAAAATCCAGTGAATACAAATATTATTAATTTTATGCACCAACCACAAAAGCTAGTGTTGAAGAAATTGAAGCATTGTGCCATCACCTTCATTTGGAAATTGATCAAACATGTAATCAAGATGCATTGATACTCTCTGAAGAAGAATTCACTTCAGCGGACAGCACTGAAGCTACAGCTCAGGGAGAGGGTCAGGTCTGATCAGAGCACACAGGAGAAAATGAAAGGGAAGGAAGAGAGAGAGTAGCGCATATTGGCCCACCAAGCCCTGAGGATGATATTCTTTCTCAGAGCATCCAATGCACAAAGAGGACCATAGGGCAGATCCCACTATGAGACATGATGTCCCTCACTGACACGTAGTGCTACATGAGACAACACTAGGGACAACACTGGAGACACAGTGTGGGAATTGTGCCTGATATGAACCCACCACACCAATGTGAAACAACAAGGGCATGCAACAGAACAGCGAGAGGAGCAGAGCAATGAACTCCCTAGGGCATACCAAAAATAGACTTTGGGTCCAGGCGTGGCAGTCCATCAGACTGACCGGAAAACAGTCCTAAAGGTCAACAAACAGACATTGAACTATTTATAGGCTTTTCTTTTTTTGTTTTGTTGCTTTGTTTTGCTCTGTCTAGTCTTTAATGCATATTATTATTTCTGTAGTTCTATATAGGTGGAATAAATAATCTGGAGGAGAAAACAACGGCACTGATGGTTACAAGGGGACATGGGAGAAAAGGAGGTGGGGGAAATGAAGTGGGTGTTAACAAACCCAGGGACAAGAGAACAAGTGATCTAAAATCGATGGTTAGGAGGGTGTAGGAGGCCTAGTAGGGCTTGATCCAGGGCAATGTAACCAAAGGAAATTACTGAAACCCAAATGAAGGCTGAGCATGATAGTGGGACAAGAGGAAAGTAAAAGGAAATAGAGGAAAGAACTAGGAGACAAAGGGCATTTATAGAGGACTGAATACAGGCATGTACATATGTAAATATATATATGACAATGGGGAACTAGATCTATGTACATATATTTATAGGTTTCCTATTAAGGTAGCAGATGGACATTGGGCCTCTACTCAAGTAATCCCTCAACGCAAAAACACTTTGTTCTATTAACCTAGCATTTCACAATGCTCACCTGCTCAACACCATTGCTGA